ATGGTTTTACTATAATTACACATCATACTACAGAATATGTGGATGCAAATTTTCTTTAAACACAAGAATAACAACAAAAATAATAAAAGAAAGCAACATAAATTATTATGGATTTTTTTTTTCTTTTACATTGATGAGAAATTGCCAAAAATGGGGAATCCTCTTCAAATCAAAAGAGAAATAAATATACATATTATGTACTTGTGTATGTAAGTATGAGGTATGTACAAGAAAATCATTTAAAAAATGAAATAAAATTATTTTTAGACGAAAAAATTTAAAAGAAAATTTTTTTTTTTGTAAAATAATCAAAAGAAAGAAAAATTTCTAAATAAATATTAAAAAAAAAAGCGGAAAAACTCATATTTCTTGATTTGGTTTTAAAAATACATTCAACACATACAACGTATGTATGTATGTATGTATGTACATAATTCAAAATGGTAAAAGTAGAAAATGATGATGACTAATAACAATGCAGTAAAAAAAAATATAATTTCTTTTTTTTTTTAAATTTTGCTTTTTGTATTGTACCTACAATAAAATACAATCACAGTATGAAAACCAAAATATTAAAAGCAAATTTATTAAAAATAAAAGAAACCAAAGAAATTTAATAAAAAAAAACCAAAAGAAGAAAATCATAAGTACTTGAAACAAGAAACTGCATAAAGTCTGCATGTGCATTTTTCTACTCATTTAACTTATACAACATTGGAAAGGTAATCAGAGATCATTGCTCTTCCACTTTTATTTGATTCATAATTAAAAAACAAAAGCCGAAAATCATATAAGCAATTTGCCAACTTCATTGATTGAATAATTTTTTCTTGGTACCTACTTATAGTTTAATGAAAAATAATTATGACCTTTTAAATTTATTTCGGAAGTTCCGACTGCTCCTAAACTGCTACACAATTTAATTTTTTACCTTTTTTAGTTATTACCATTATTAGTCAAATAATTATGCGAAAAAATAAAATTGTAACATAATTACCGTTCACTTACAACATAATTTAGCTAAAAGTTTTAACTACTTAGATTAATATTTTGGCCCGCATTATAAATTATTCAATTAGCCTGATTTTTACAATTGCTTTTAATTTTTTTTTATTATTATTCCAAATGAACCAAACATTAGACAACACAACATATTTCACGAAGTTTATTTAACAGATATAACATTACATTATTATTATAATCTACATGCTTACATACATAATATACAACAGATATCGCAACATAACAGAATAGGTAAACTAAAATAAGCCCATACATAAAATCATATTCTATCTATTGCACACTATAAACTATGTTTAAGTATAGCACAAAATACAACAACACAATATTGTTATACATTCAATTCAAACACGAAGCATTTAAGTTATGTAAAAAGAAAAAAAAAAGAAAAAACAAAAATTAAAAACAGCAAAACAACAAAAAAAAAATTATGAGTGCGAGAATAGAAATTTTATTTTGCTTGTTATTTTTGTTGTTTTTGTATTTTGTTTTTGTTGTTATTGTGTTGTTGTTGGGTTGCTTTCGTGTATCTTTAAGCAGGTTTCATGCTATTTTTTTCTGTGATTTTTTTTTTCTGTTATATTTTTATTTTTTTTTTTCTTTTATTTTCTCTGTTCGGTTTAATTTTATGCTTTTTGTTGGTGATTTTTTCGTATTGATGATGAGTCATTCGTGGTGTATTTTCACTAAAGAAAAAAAAAAAATTTTTGTTATTTTTCTTTTCATAGTGTTCGTTTTTTCTTTTTTTAATTTTTTATTTTCGTTTTTGTTGATTTTATTATAGCTATTCGTTTTTTTTTTCAGTTGGTTGGTTGGCCAAGTAACTGTAGGTACTTATTTATACATGAATAAGGCAAACACATGTACATATGTACACAATATTATTATGTATATTTGTTTGTTTGTTTGTACCTTAATTTTAATTCACAATCATTCATATAGTAGTTTTTTCCTACATCTATAATATATTTATAATAATAGTATTGATGTGGAAATTTGAACATAATATAAAAGATAGATTGTAAATATTGTAGAATTAAGATTACCAGATTGATGAAAAATTATACATATTTTGAAGAGAAAACGGAGCAAAATTCAAAATGATATGAATAAAATCATATTTTTATGTGTGAAAATATAAAATTCAAATTATATGAATAAACTCATTGATTACAACAGGAGAAAAATTGATTTCGAAATCATTACAAAAATTTTGTATGATCAAATACTTTGAAGTAATTGGGGTTTGTCCTCAATTGTCCTGTGCGTGTCCTCAATACATTTCCTCAATTATGAATGAAAATTACCAATGTAATCATAGATTTGCATAAATTATTTGCCAGGAATCACTCTTGACTTATGTTTTTTATTACTCCGAGAAGATCAGGTAAAAAAAAAGCGTTTTGGAATGTATGCATGGTATTGTACAAATATGTATAATTGAAAACTACTTACACGAATAGGGCTTTAAAGTACCTCGTATATTTGAACTATTTTATTTGCAAATTGTTAAATATACCAATATTAGTATAGGGTCTATTTAAATGAAATTCTTTAAAAAAAAATTTAAGTTTGAGAGAGACTTAAAAAATTATTTTAAACTGAGACAATTTCCTCTCAAACCATCTGGCAATTTAAGTACTAGTCGAACCTTACAAATATTTATTTTTATATTTATATACTATTATGGCACAATCAAATTTATGTAGGTATGTAAATTAGAATAAATTATGGAATTATCATAAATGCATCCATATTTACATATAGGTTACTATGCACCTATACATACCCAAAATTGAACAGTTTCATGCAATGTAGAAAAATTTATGAAAGCAGATTTTTTTGTCGTTTACTATCACTATTGGTGATCTCGCGAAAAAAGAGTATGATTTTTTTCATACATACGTAACTGTTTCGTATTTAAGTTTTTTTTAATGTCATTTTGATTTGTTTAGATATTTAGATGCATTAGGATACCAACATACTTATTTCAATAACAATTGAATCAAAATAATTTTTGATTTGAGCACAATACAAAATAACAAGAATACATTCATACATAAATATACAAATCTACAATCATTTGTTATTTTGTGACAATTATTTTCTCCTTACATTTTAATTTATATTTAGGCCAATTTAAAAAAATTTATTATGAGTACATTGACAAAGCAAGCTGAGTAAAGAAAAAAATACGACAACGGCGCAATGTATGGAGTTGTACATATGTACCTACAATTTATATTCACCACTGATATAAGATATACGTACACATTTGCATATATGTATGTATAGTATATAAACTTTAATTTTTGAAAAGAATTTATATGACGTCTGTTCAAAAATCAAAGTTTTAATTAAATCTATTAAAGTTGTGTTCAAATATTTTTCTTTTATTAAATAATGAAATTTTAAAGGAAACGAGGAAAAAAGTTGGGTGTATCTTTAAAACAAAAATGAATAAATGGTTTATAAATACATTCTTGCATATATACATATACATATGTATATGTACATATATATGCTCGTACTAATCAAAATAGAATTGAAATATAAAATTTAAGTTTATTAAAATTGCCTTGATTTTTTTATTAAAATTTTTGGACTTTTTTATAAATCGGCACCCAATCACATTGGTAACAAAAAATGGAGGTATAATGTTGTTGAAATTATTAAATAAATATTTAATTACAATTAAAAGATCAGTGCTTATTACGTAGGTACAAAGTAATTTTATGATTGTGGATGATTGTAATTATCAATCCAATTAACATCCTCCATGAAGCAATAATTAATCTTAACCTTCATATAAAGGTAAATAAGCAAGTAGTATTACTGAAACTAATTCAGAATAGCTGGGTTCAAAAATATTGTTATGTAAGTAATTTCTAAATAAATTTAAAAAGGTCATTTTCATTTAAAACACAATTTCCTGACCAATTAACAGTGTTGTAGCTTCTAGCATAAAAATAATATATGTAAGTACTTATAGTTGAAAAAATCTGAGAACAATAAAAACTTTTATAAGTAGGTGTCGAAATAACAGAGAAAAAAGCAGAAAAATTAAACACAAATTTAAAAAGGAACCGGAAATCAATAATTTAATGTTCAAAACTACAATTGAATTTTTAAAAATTTTGTAAAAGAAATGATCAAATTTAAAGTATAAGCAAAACAAACACATAATTACTAATAATGTCAACATTAAAAAAAAAATATTAATATATAGACATTATACATGTAATTGGCTACATAATAATGTACATAAGTAGCCGGCAACCGTCAATGTTCATCAAAATTCTGACATTTACAAGAGATTTTTTTCTATTTTTTTCCTTTGTCTTTTCATTTTAGGTGCCTATACTTAAATAACATAAGTACATATGAATACATACAGTTTATGTATTCCAATTAGAAACATTTAAAAACAAGCTACTTAAACACATTGTTGCTTACTTATGCTTGTACATTATCAATAATCATAAGTGCCTTATACTTGTAGACAAAATTTTTTATATGCAACACTACATTTTAAATTTTTAGTGTTAATTTTATTCAATTTAAATTTTGATTAATATGCGTAACATTCAATTTAATAAAAAAAAATGAAAAAAAAAAAACGAAACATTAACTACATAATTCTATAAAAAGATGCTCTATAAAAGGGTTAATAAAATAAAAAAAAAGGGTTTTAATAAAGAGAATAAAAAACTCTAATTTAAATACTTTGGTCTTGAATATTAAAAATAAACTCTTAGAAAACAATAAATTTGTATTTTTATATCTGAAAGCAAAATATATAATGAATACATGCCACATATATAAAATTTATTTTGATTGAAGGGCTTCAATTTTCAATAAAATCAATGCTAGAAGTAGCAAATTTATATCAGTAAAATGAAAATTTGAAAACCATAGAATCAAAGAATGAAATCAGTTTATAACCCTCATTGATTTAAAAAAAAATGCATTTAACTTACCATATATTGCTGGACTAGAACAACTTCTTGACAATGGTACACGTCCATTACCGTATTCATCACATGGTGTTGATGGATCTTTTGTTCTTTTGTTATTATAATCCTTATTGTGATTTCCTAAAAAATGAAAAAAAATTATTAATTAACCAAATTAGTCTTAGAGTTTTTGAAATAATTTAAATAGAAATAGTAACCTACACATTTAAAAACCTGTTATTTATAGCGGTGTAACATTTTTTCTTGAGCATAATTTAATTAATATTTCATGTACTACATATACATTTGAATTTTATTTATTTATAATTTTTTAATACTATACAACATATTCAATGTAGCCCTCATACCAGTCTCAATAGCAACAACATCAAGATAATTACAACCTTAATTGCAAAGCAAGGACAATAATAGCACAACACTAAAAAAAATATCGGAAAAATTTACGATGACAAGAAAAAACAAGTAAAAACGTTTCAGTCGGTATGAACCGATTGAATTATACCCTGCACCTTTCATTGTTGTATAGCAATTACTCAAACCTGTGAAGTCATTCTATAGAAACTTCACGGATATGTCTGACCTATAATTGGACATCCGACTGAGAAGTTTCATGAATCTGACTTTAATATTTTTCCAAATATTTAAAATTAGCTTTTGGAGTTGTATGGCAGGTACCCGAACCTGCCAAGAAATTCCACTAAAACTTCGCTAATATATCTGATCTATAATTGGACACACAACTGCCAAGTTTCATGAATCTAACTTTATTACTTTTCCAAATATTTAAGATAAGCTTTTGGACTTGTATGGGAGCCACTCGAACCTGTCAAGCAATTCCACCAAAACTTCAGAAATATCTTTGATCTATAATTGGACACACAACTGCCAAGTTTCATGAATCTGTCTTTATTATTTTTCTAAATATTTAAAATTAGCTTTTGGAGTTATATGGCACGTACCCGAACCTGCCAAGCAACTCCATTAAAACTTCGCAAATATATCTGATCTAAAATTGGACACACAACTGCCAAGTTTCATGAACTTGACTTTATTATTTTTCCAAATATTTAAAATTAGCTTTTGGAGTTGTATGGCAGGTACCCGAACCTGCGAAGCAATTCCACTAAAACTTCGCTAATATATCTGATCTATAATTGGACACACAACTGCCAAGTTTCATGAATCTAACTTTATTACTTTTCCAAATATTTAAAATAAGCTTTTGGACTTGTATGGGAGCCACCCGAACCTGTCAAGCAACTCCACTAAAACTTCGCAGGTATATCTGATCTATAATTGGACACACAACTGCCAAGTTTCATGAATCTAACTTTTTTATTTTTCCAAATATTTAAAATAAGCTTTTGGACTTATATGGGAGCCACTCGAACCTGTCAAGCAATTCCACCAAAACTTCAGAAATATCTTTGACCTATAATTGGACACACAACTGCTAAGTTTCATGAATCTGACTTTATTATTTTTCCAAATATTTAAAATAAGCTTTTGGACTTGTATGGGAGCCACTCGAACCTGTCAAGCAATTCCACCAAAACTTCAGAAATATCTTTGACCTATAATTGGACACACGACTACCAAGTTTCATGAATCTGACTTTATTATTTTGCCGAATATAAAAAATTTGCTTTTGGAGTTGTATGGCAGCCACCCGAACCGGTGCAGCTACCCCATTATAATTTTTATAACATATGTAGAATATAATTGGACACATGTATACAAAATTTTATATTTGTACCTTTATTAGTTTTTGAAATAATTAAAATAAACTCTTTGAGTTGTATGGCAGCTACCCGAACCCGTTGTCCGAATTGGTCCAATAACAATAGGGTTCGTCCTTGGCACAAAAGAAGCAACTTGTGAAAGTTTGATGTCGATTGCATTATTCGTTTTTGAGTTATCGTGCGATCGGACGGACGGACGGACGGACGGACGGACGGACGGACGGACGGACGGACGGACGGACGGACGGACGGACGGACGGACGGACGGACGGACGGACGGACGGACATGTCTAAATCAACGCAGAATTTTACTCTGAGCAAGAATATATATATATGTCCATACCGCAGATGGCTCCTTCAAGTAGTTACAAACTCCATACCAAAGTTAATATACCCTTCACGAAGTGCAGGGTATAAAAAATAAGAAATTTCATTAACCACAATTTCTTGAACATTTTTTAACCAATTCAAAAAAAGAAAAACTAATATCCTTTCAATAGTTAAAGGACTCTTATCTATTAGAATACATTATTGATTGAAAAAAGAAAAAAATAAAAAACAATAAGTATGCGAATGGGTATTCTCTCTTTTTTTATTACAATAAACTTTTATAACGTCATCTATACAATTTTGGATTATGAGCTAAGACTCTTGACATTATAATAGAAATATTTCAGATACCTTACATATATGTATATACATGAATAATACATGGTTACGTATGGGGTGGAATAATAAAAGGATAATAATAGATTGAAAATAATTTTGATATAGCTACTTATGAAGAAAGGAAAAAAACTTAATTTTGGATTTTTTTTTAAATAGGGTTTCAGAAACCAGTAAAATTATACTAGTACGCTACAGAAGTTCAGAATTTCATATTCTAAAAAATTCAAAATTTATTTAAGTAATGAAAATATTGCTTATTTTTAGGAAAATCCCTATCTGTGTTTTTACACAGTATGTCCATACTAATTTGTAAATTGAAAATTTTAAGGATTTAAAAATCGTGAAACTTACATAAATTTTAAAATTTTATTGAAATTGGTTTGGAATTCAAAATAATGAGATTTGATGCTTTGTTATTTCTAATATTCATCGTGTTTTTAGCTAAAGTTTTGCATCCACATAGACTTTTCAAATGTAGGGCAATTTCTGTATAATTAAGTATATTGAATTTAATTATTATTTTTGATATTTATGTTAAAATTGCATTTTCATATTGTACAAATAACTTAATGACCTCAGAAAAACTCAAACTTAGACTCAAAGAAAAACAAAAACCTTGAAATTTGTTTGAAAAAAAAATGTAAGTTTTAATTCAAATCGATATTGCATTTTCAAAATGCATAATTAAAGTGAATATGATGCATTTATATAAGTGGATTATTGCACAAAATTGTGAAATTTCATGCCTCCATGCTAATTTGTCAAAAGGAAAATAAATATAGTTCCTTAATTACTCATTTACCTTAATATTACCTTTTATTTCTTGAAAAATTTTAATAAACTTTTAAGTAAAAATAAATTTTCCTTTAATTTAAATAAAATTTTCATATCATTCCCATAATATCTCTGTGAAATATGGAAAACAAAACTTATACGATGACAAATAAACGTACATATATACACTTTAACATTGTTAATATATACAAAAAATTTCCATGTCCTTCAGATTTTTTTTTTCATTTAAATATTCAGAATTAATTAAAAAAATATTATAACTAAAGTAAAGTAACTTAGTTACAAATATTTCAAATAAATAAAAATGAATAAAAGCAATAATTTTTTATATATACAAGTATGAACGAATGTACAATAACAATTGTAGTTATTATTGTACACGTTAATGTATTGTACATGAACAGTTATAGCATACTTAAATGGGTAATAAAATGAAAACAATTTATGACAGTTGAGAAATTATAAATATAGTAGTAAGTAAGTATTATAGTAGTAAACAATATGAGTCATCAAAAATTGTATATGTATACATGTAAAAATTTTGTTGTGTCAAAATGAAAATGCATTGATTTTCCTTCGTTTCTTTTAAAACATGAAAAACATAAAAAACCTTCAAACTATTATTGCATATTTGTATGTGTGTCAGTGTCTATTACCTCATAGGAAAAGTTAAAATAAACTAAAAATAAGAAGAACAACAAAAATTAAAGTATAAGTAGTAAGAAAAAAATTTTCCATATCCCAGTAAGTCTAACTTTTACTACAGGTATTTTCCAATGAATATTTTCATTTTTTGAAAAAATAAAAAAAATGAAATGGAAATATTTCACTATTGTGTATATGAGTAAATGTGTACACATAATATTTTTGGGGTGAACGAATATTGTCTACACAGAGTTAGTTTGTTTGTATATAATTATGTATATATACATGGTAAAGTGTGTGAATTTATGGCAAGTAAAATACCTTTGCATGTAAAACTTTTTTCTTTTACTATAAGTATATTTTATTGCAAGCGTTACCAGAAATAACACTGTAATAGAGTGAAAGAAAGAAAGGGAGAAAAAATAATTAAAATGAGTAAGTAAAAGAAAATCGCATGTTAAAAAGTCACAAAAATGAATAAAATGAAAGAAAATGTGATTTTTCATTTAAAAAATTTTCACATAGGTAACCAAATGTATACTTATTTAGTACATACAAACGCGTCTTATTTAGTATATTAGAAAATAAACCGTCATAGTTAATTTTTATATTGTAAATATTAAATAAATTCAAACGGCAGCACATATTCGTTTTATATGTTAAAGAAATGAAACATTAGAATTGAATAAAATTTTATGCCCTATGCTCCCATCACCACCAATAATCATTATAGGAGTATCATCAATAGTAATATCGTATATTATAAATGTTATTCATCGATCGATTGAACTATCGATATGTGAGTATAGTAAGTAAGTATGTATAGTAATGGAAATAGAATGAAATGAAAAAAAATTAATATATTTTTATTTTCTTGCCATTTTAATATTATTATTCGCTTCTGATTATAATCACGTGGCATTATTGTGGTGTGGCCTCAATATACTTAATGTATGTAAGTATATAAAAAAAAATATAAAAAATGTATATTAAACGCTAAAGGTTCATATATTTAATATTTAGTTCCTAAATATAATATAATTATTCTATATATATATACATTAATATATTTATTCAACTATTTACTTTAAATAAATACAAATATGTAAATATGAAAATAGAATTGTGTACTTAATTTTTAAATAGTGTTCATATCGTTCGCATACACTTACTTACTTACTTAATTATTCATTAAAAATAAACACCGCGCATTTAAAATGCAAATGAACTCTTTTTCAATAATACGGTATAAGCGTATGTACATGTACA